TAAAAGAAAGCCTCGATGAAAAACGGTGATCTGACATTTCACGGGTTTCATGTGACTATCATTATCCAAATGGAGGAGGACCCAAACTAAGAACGCGTTAGACAATTACAAATTAAACATTCCCGCCCACATAATCAATAATCAGATTAATTCGGTTTGTCTGAAGTGATCATAAACATTTTTGTTAAAAATGGAGTAAACACAACAAATCCCAATAGACGCCATTCGATAGAGGTGCAGTGAGCATGAAAACCTGACAAAAGTGTTCGAATTTGATAAGAAATTGATTTGGAACAATGTGAATGTGAAAAATTAGATCAATTCAAAATTTGGACATAATACCCAACCATAACTCAAGACAACAAATAATGGAGCTAAAAAAATCAATACAATTCAAGAAATACTTACCGATCAAAGAGGCTGTGGTGTTGGCTACGGCCGCAGCCATGCACAAGCTCAAATCGAGGGGAGTTTCCACGGATTCAGTCGATCGAATCGGTGTTACGGGGGGACACGTTACGGGCAGTTTGATCAATGCATTCACCTTGTCCAAGGGGGAACTGGCAAACGCAAGTGGAGAATCGGCCGAAGTCAACCGATTCGACCGCGTCCCGTTCATTATCACGGGAGTCAATTTGGTATCGACAACCGGGAACGCAGGAGTTGTGGTACGTGGGTTAAGCAAAGCTTGACGAAATAACCATGCAGTTGCAGTTGCATCCAGTCCCAACGCGCTCAACAATTGCGGATCGATGAGTGTCTGGGGTTCGGTCGAGTCGGGTACGAGTGTCGGTGCTAGTGTGGAAAAGATGCGTTTAAGAGCGGCCAAATCGGCAGAATCGATCGGTTGTTGGATAGATGGAGTGCTGGTAGATAGTGAACAGGGGACGGGACTAATAGCGATAGATGGACCATTTTTCATTCCGGGACCTGCAGTTCCATTATTTGTCATAGTCAAATGAGGTGAGATCGTCGGATTGTCTGTGGCAGTTGTGTCGGAATTGGTAACAGACACTAAGTGTGGAGTCATGGGAGCCGAATTCGGATCGTTCCCCATGACAAGAAGATCCGGTCCGTCATCCGTAACCAAACACCCATCGACCGAAGCCAATTCCGGTTGCGAAAAGGCATCACTGAGTGCAGTCTGAGGTGCAGCATCCTGCCCCATCTTATCTTCCGATTTGTACAATTCTCCACCATGCCCGGTAGATAAAAATGAGGTACCGTTGTTTGATATACCATGATTTGTCGGCGTGCTCATCTGAGTTGAGTGATTTGTTGTGTCCGGTGAGACTGGTTCGGTGTCATCCAATGGGAGACCGTAACGCAATTTCAGCTCCATCAGTTCCTGACGTAATTTTTGATTCTGCGCGTTCAACACATTGATTCGATGCTCCATAAGTATGTCATTCTGACGTCGCTTTTCCCGGGATCGCTTGGCTGCTTCGTTATTTTTTCGACGTCGTTCCCAATATTTGTCATCTTTTTTCGAATCCGGAATAAATTCTCTTTGTTTTCTATCCCGATCGCGATCACCGACTGTGCTCAAACAAGATCCGCACGAATCGAAATCCATCGTCTCCACACCGATTGGACCAGTTGCTAGGGACATTTTGTTTCCACCATCGGATAGATTATTTGTACCAGCAGCATTGGCGGAATGCGGTTGGGTTTGACTGAATTGAGTCGAAGCGAACGGGGATTGTACTGATCCGGTTTCAGAGGACACATCCGAACAAGTCTGCATTGGAACAGTGGAGGAAGTCGTGGTGGTTGTATTATTGACCGTTGATGAGGCATATGATGTCGTATTCCCCAGTGTTGCAGATGATGTGGTTCCGATCAGAGCCGAGGACAGAGCCGTTGGTATTGATGAGGGGCCAAAGGAAAAGATACAAGAAACCGGACTGTTATTCGTATCACTTTGGTTTGTATTGGTAATTGTGGTACTGCTAGAATTATTCACAGAGTGTTGAGTAAATGGACTGGCGCGGAAAATGTTTGGATCAATCAAGTCTGGAGTGAATGGACTAATCAAATTAGCTGCAGCCACGGGGACAGGGATACCATTGGGAATTAGAGCAGCGGAAGGGAAAGATAGACCGAGAATGCCAGCCAAGGCAGATGCCAAAGATAGACCACCGTTTGAACCATCCCCAATTGTATCGTTCACCGAAGCTCCAGGAATCAAACGTGCACTATTTGACGGTGGCGAAATCGAGGTGGCGGTGGTACCCAGGACCATATTTGGATCAGACACAGCACTGTGATTATCGATGAGGATGATGTGGAAATTTCCACTGCCAGTACTACTGGACGTGGCCGTGGAACTGCTCGCACGGATTATGCCAGCTGAGGATTGCTCTGGATCTAGTGCGCGTATACGTTTGGACCAAGAGTAAATGTGGCTCGACTAAGATGGGAACGAGATATGTGACTGCTGACCAGAACGGAAGGACGGAGCACGTGTTTTCCTCGGTATGCAGTGCGGCATGCAACCCAAGATGTGATAGGTCTGTGTATATCTGTGCGTGCGTGTGTGTGTATGGGATGAATGGTGGCCCAGACAGGTTTCACACAGTAATCTCGATTCGCCTGCAGTTGGGAGGTTCTAATTTGACGAAGCCCACCGTCTCGGTGAGAGAGATGTGTGCGCACACTGACGACTGGAAAATTGCGGATCTTTTTGTTACCGTATTCCATCTACGACTGTATGTGAGTGCTTGCATGCATTTGTGTGTGTGTGTGTGTGTATGCGTATGTGTGCGCCTGTCTCGACGTCGAACCACTACCACCACCGCCGGTACTAGTCTGCTCTTCACTTTTTACCGTTCGTACGTACGCACGCACAANCGCACATACATGCATACTCGCTACTAAGGCTTCAGGTATGACTAATCTTTATTGGCTGTGACACAGGCTGACCTTCTGCCCCTAACCGCACACACTCCACCCACCCCCCTCCAATCGTGCATCGCTGGAATAACCATACTGCACGAAAACTTTTTCGGATGTGTGTATGACCAGATCATCATATAAGCGGCTTGCGTGAAAGCACAAGTGTGTCTGTGTGCCGGGGAGGGGCGGGGGGGAGGCGCGTCTGATTGGGTGTCAATACTTCGGACAACGCAAAACGCGAAACGACACAAAGCGCGCGCCCCAGGGAGCGGGGCGGGGTAATACATGGACTATCCGAGTGCGTTCGTATGAAATTGTGTGCCAATCTATCCGACTAGCTGCTGTTGGTCCTAGTGCCGCTGCCACGGTTATTTTTGTGGTTGAGCTTGTCGAAGGCGAAAGGCAAGTAATCTGCTGTCTCTGTTCTACCCTACATGCATATCCCATTTTCAAGGCCCAAGTAAACAGTATAGGCTATGCACCCCCAAAGTGAGACATAGAGGGCGAGAAGTAGTTTGGGCTACTCTGAGTCTCGCTAGACAAACGCACACAGAGACAGCCAGCCTAACTACATCTTTAAAATTACAGGCCGCTTACGCATACGTGGTTTGAAACGGTAGGCCATGAACGCAAATGCGCATAACGAGTGATCGAGGGGAGTGGAATGGAGGAAGAAGTCAATTCAATTACACCGAAATGGAGTACATTCACTACAGAACAATACAAACGGCCTGCTTACACTACAGTATCATAACCGTCAATGTAGACGATGCGAACCATTGCACTATTGAGCAATCAGAATACAGTAAAACGCGTGNGAAGTATGTATGTAATAGTATCCGACTGATTAGATAAACTTCTCCCGGAAACACGTCCGGTTTCGAGATCATTGTCACTCACACCAAGGGTGGATTGTGCTAAATTGTGTAGGGAAAGGTGAACACGGTTTTATTATTTATCTGGTAGTCAAGTGAGCTTGTGTCCCACCTATGATGAGGTCCCGAGTTCGTGATCAGCATTTGGGTCAATGAATGTGCATTGCACTGACCGAGACCGAAGCAGCGGTACCGTGTTTCTAAGCTTTCTGGTCCATGTTCTCTTTACAGATTCTTT